CGTTGCTGTCCTTCCCAGTCGGTTCCTCGCTTTCTCCCTCGTTGCACTCAAGGTTCTTGGTCTGAAAAATAAAAATTCTCGCGCCGAAGGGGTCAACCAGCCCAGTTCAGCTCGTCGCCACCTGCTCCCTCCTCCTTTGATGGCGAAGCCAGGTTACTGAGGCAATACAGCTCCCTCTAGCCAACCTAGGGCCGTGTACATAGTGCCCGTCCACCTTCTGACGGTGTCTGCCTCCGCGCACAAAAAATGAGATGGGCATCGCTGCCTACGCCGACGGCCAGAGTGGCCCGCGCATCTACATTTATACGGACCTACAACATGTACCCTGTTCACCCGATCAACCCGCCTCAATACCGCAAGAATATTTCACACGTGTGTACGTTGTTGTTGTTTCTCACATTAGCTCTACGAGTAAAGTTCACAAAAATGGGGAGCCCGTGTTCTCAAATCTATGCATACACCGGTCGCCCAAGTGGTCTAGTTGGTATCATCGAAACCTTCTAGAGTAGAGGTCAGGTCAGGGGTTCGAGTCCCGGCGGAAGCGAGCTTTCTTGCAAAGTGAGTTTTTCTCTCGCTTCCGCTCCTGGCCTAAACAGCATATTGGTGAAATTGAGAGCGAAGCATCTGATTGAGAGCGAGATTGCGCGATGCGCTGCAGCTGGACTACTGCTGAGAGGTGGAGCTTGCTGTGTAGCTTGAATTGAAGGGCCAGCTCGTAGCTACAAGCAGGTACTGGTCATCCTGTGGAAGTCTCTCGATGTGGAGTTACAGCGGCGAGCAGAAGCTACAACAGAGCCCACCGCCCGAGGCCATACCGCCCTGCAACAGTTTGAGGCAGGAATAGCCAATCTGGGGAAATCTAGCAAGTTGTCTAGCTCCTAGCTGCGGCATCCGATGACGATGACACGCATATGCTCGTGACGCTGCTGATGAGACCTTCAATTTGCGCCGCTTCTTGGAAGAGCCCGTCCCCTACTTGCCAAGAAATGGCAAGAGGCGTCTGGACCCGAATTTTCATTTTTTTGGCTCTCGCTCTCAATTTCATGCTTCGCTCTCAAATTCACCAATATGTTGTTCCTAGTGGAAAGCGCAACTTCGTGTGTACACAGAGGGAAGAGAGTGCTGAACTCTTCTCGCATTACAAATCGAAGGCAAAGTACCGCAGGAGGGGAGGGTAGGGAGGGGCTCTTCCGTGTGACCACGGGTTGGAGTGAAACGGCACCAGTGCTGTGAGCGTTGATTTGGAGTGAAAAAAAATAAAATAAAATAAAATACAACGTCGCAAGACCAATCATGGATACAAGAAGAGCCCCTCTGACAAGATCTTTGAATCCGCTCACGTTGGTGCCAGTTCCAGAACAAGGGCGGCTTGGATCGTGTCTTGACCTTCCTTGTCTTCGACCTCTAGTTGCTCCGGCCAAACGGGTCGCGCGGCGGCGGGGTTAGCGGCGGAGCCACGCTCGGAGTTGTCCGTGGCGCTGGCGCTTCGCTCCTCCCTCTATCGTGGGACCATGCAAGCCAAAATGGATCGACAGAACAGAACTCCAATGAGCCGTTGCGGGAGAGCTTGAAGGTAACCGTTGGTTTCTTCGGCAGCGAGGGCTCATGAGGAGAATACTAGGTGTCTGGTAACATGAAGACTCATCCATGTGGCATCGGTGTTGGTACTCATTCATGTGGCATCGGTGTCGTGAGGTCCACAATCAAAAAAGACGCAACACACATCACCAAAAAGATACGGTCATGGGTGGTCGAACCTACGCTGGGAAACCTCCCAACCCCCAAACCCCGAGTACAACAAGGCGACCAAAGAGAGACGTAGGAAAGACACAGATGGCGCACCTCGTTGTCGTGCTGGTGGTGCTGTGCCCCTTCGTCCAACTCAACAAAGCGGGTGCTATTTCCTCCCTGTGCACGGATCGACCACGTCGCTTTCCTCGGCGACGATGATGCATCCGTGGCCGAGGGACGGGGCACGCCGCGCACGGCCAGAAAGCGTAAAGTGAACATGACTGGTCCCTCTCCCCGGACGGTGCCAGGACGACGGGAAACAAGGCGGCGTGCTTGCGTGCTGTGTCGTTCAAGGGTGTGTGGAGCTCAAATCGGAGTGATACGTCAAGCACCCGCCTATCTATGCCTCTTACCCCCGTGACGTGAGGTGTACACCGCCGCTCGTGTTTTCTTTGCACCAACACTCTGAATGAGGTCAGCTTTCCTCTGGGTCACTGTTTGTCTGCTGCGCCAATGGTTGTGGTCCGGACCATGGTTCGCTAGAAACGAGAAGGGCTGAACGGAGGGCAGGGCGAACGGAGTGCCCGGGGGCACGGTCTGCAGAGATATGTATGTGCATATGATGTCGTGGCGAGGAACAAATGCGTGACATATTGTTCCGAACAATGTGGTACGAAGAGTAACGTTGTTGCTTGCACCGCCGACGTTCATCAGTACCAGTTGTTGTTGTTGTTGTTGTCTTCACATTGAACCGTATGTCAGTTGCCAAATGCCAAAATCTAGCAAAAGACTCTCAGCCCGTGGTCACGAAAG